TTCCACCATAATATTGGTAGTTAAATTTTAAAATCCTAATCTGGGCATCAGTTGCATAAAATAAACAGTAGCTATTGATTATGATGGTACTGAGTAAAAGGAAATAATACCACTGTAGTCAAAGAAACTGAAATACAAGCCGTACAATTTTAAGACACTTCAAACCATGGAAAGCATTACTTGTGACTAGTGCTTTTTTCCTTGTTGTTGTTTAGTCGTTTAGTCGTGTCCGACTCTCTGTGACCCCATGGACCAGAGCACGCCAGGCACTCCTGTCTTCCACTGCCTCCCGCAGTTTGGTCAAACTCATGCTGGTAGCTTCGAGAACACTGTCCCAACCATCTCATCCTCTGTTGCCCCCTTCATCCTCTGTTGCCCCCTTCTCTTTCCCAACATCAGGGTCTTTTCCAGGGAGTCTTCTCTTCTCAATAGGTGGCCAAAGTATTGGAGCCTCAACTTCAGGATCTGTCCTTCCAGTGAGCACTCAGGGCTGATTCCCTTCAGAATGGATAGGTTTGATCTTCATGCAGTCCATGGGACTCTCAAGAGTCTCCTCCAGCACCACAATTCAAAAGCATAAATTCTCTGGTGATCAGCCTTCAGCTTTTTTCCTACATATGTATAAAAAGGTGCCACTGATGTGAACCACAGAGTTCTGCCAGAAAAAAGCACTGTTTGTTACATAGGTTGCACACCACCCCCAATCTCTGCTGATCATTAGCAAGATTTCAGTTGGGTTTCAGGAGCTTAGCCAGGGTCGTGTTTTTGTAGGGAATCAAGACATGGCAGAGACTGGCGTGTCTTTAAGAAATTCGGTTTATTTTACACATATTTCAGTGGAGGACTGCAGCGTTTGCAGCACTGCTTGTTCCCCACCACAGTGCAGTACTGGACTCCAAGGCATCTCTGTGCCTCTGTCCTAGTCTGCCTTCAGCCAGCCCCCAATATGGTTCTGACCTTCCACCCCCTCATACAGTTCTGGCCCCTTCTTTTCTTCTTCTCAAAAGCCCTTGCTCAAACCTCAGTTTTAAAAGGACACCTTTCTTCCTGGGGAGGTGTCCCACACCCCTGATACCCTGGCAAGCTCCCCTCTTCCTTGTCTGCTGCTGAATGCCTCACCTTTTATCATGGCAATGACTCACAGGCTCCTTTCAGAAGAAGGGTGGAATGTGATTTTTGTGGTTTGGTTTGGTTTGGTTTGGCAAGCCTGTCCAGCCACACAGAAAAGCATGAGGGACAAATTGAGCCCTGGAAGTAAAAAGACAGGTTTGTTGTATGATAAAGGTAAAAGTAAAGGTACCCCTGCCCGACGGGCCAGTCTTGACAGACTCTAGGGTTGTGCGCCCATCTCACTCAAGAGGCTGGGGGCCAGCGCTGTCCGGAGACACTTCCGGGTCACCTGGCCAGCGTGACAAGCTGCATCTGGCGAGCCAGCGCAGCACACAGAAACGCCGTTTACCTTCCCACCGGAGTGGTACCTATTTATCTACTTTCACCCGGGGGTGCTTTCGAACTGCTAGGTTGGCAGGCGCTGGGACCGAGCAACAGGAGTGCACCCCGCCGCGGGGATTCGAACCGCCGATCTTTCGATCAGCAAGCCCTAGGCGCTGAGGCTTTTACCCACAGCGCCACCCGCGTCCCTTGTTGTATGATACAGATGCATATTTTAGAAAGGGGCAAATAACTCCAAATGGCTCAAAAAGAGAACCAAGCAAGATGCTACAGAAAAATGCAGATTCCACTGAAGGGAATGTGAACAGGAGTGAACATGGACCACTGGTACCAAACTGTATGGGAAACAGTCTTACTCTAAAAGCTAACCAGCAAACGGAAACTCGCACAGCGACAAAAGAGGATGCCTTCACCCTGGTGTGGCTCACCTTTATTCTACACACAGCCCAACAAGACAACAACGTGAACCCACCAACAAATGAAACCTAATGAGTCAGTAGAAAAAGAACCTACCCACATCACGCTGCCACAAAAACTACCCCCCTTCTCTCCCCCCAGCCTCTCCCCTCAACCTTTTACTGTGTACAACAGCCAGGGTTGCCATAGTTCAAAAGTGAACATCTGGGGGGCAAAGTTTTGCTTTTTCTGAGGGGAAATTGCCAAAAACGACACTGCTGGCACTGGTTGCCATATGTTGGGATTTTCCTGGACATTTCAGTGTTTTTCACCCGGACGCTGTTTCCAATGGCTATGTCCGGGAAATTCTGGACGTATGGCAACCCTAGCAACACTGAAGTCTCACATCAAATACAGCTGATCTGTAAAAAGGACTTTATAATCCGAAAATGGAGACAATGTTTGTACTTCTGTAACCCAAGAAAACCTTTAAGGAAAAAATTAAAAAGAAAAAGAAAAATGCAGATTCCACTCCATCACATCATTGAGCTGGTTGATGTGGCATCAGGAAATACTGGTGCACTTTCTTTTTTTCTTTTTAATTAATTTTTATTAAAGATTTTATTGGTTTAAAAAAGTACATACCGTATTTTCCGGTGTATAAGACAACTGGGCATATAAGACGACCCCCCAACTTTTCCAGTTAAAATATAGAGTTTGAGATATACTCGCCGTATAAGACTACCCCTCTTCCAACGCACACCAAATAAAATTTAAAAAAAAAAAACCCAGTCTCCAGTCTGGCTCGGAAATCCGCTCCACTTCCCAGTGGCCGAGGGGCTTCTGGGGCCAATTTTGAAGCGTATTTCTACTTCATCTAGAGAGCTTGGTGTCCTCTGATTTAATTTGCTGTCGTTTTATCCTTTGGTGGGGAGTTACTGCAGGAGCTGCTGCTGTAGCCGGCGTATAAGACGACCCCTGACTTTTGAGAAGATTTTCCAGGGTTAAAAAGTAGTCTTATACACCAGAAAATACAGTATCTTGTCTCTTTTTTCAGGTTGTACAGTCTTTCTTACAAATCAGTTACATTTGTTGTGAGACATTAGTGTTGACTACAGTATAAGGTTGGGGAAGAAGCGAGGGGAGAGGAGGTGTAGGGTGGTGAGGCTTATATTCTTCTGTATAGTGTAGTGTGGGGTTTCCTGTCAGTGTCAACTGAGCAGGTTCTCTATTAATTTATTACATTTCCTTGGTAGTGAGAGGGATTGGGGGAGACCAGGGCGTGGTTGGTTGCAGTGGGGTTTGTTTGCATTTTTTTTGGTGGGGGGTTTGTTGGGTTAGGTAAGCCAGATTGATCCATATGCTGTCAGTGGATTCTTGTTATTGTTGGGCTGTCTATGTGATAAAGGGGAGCCATACTGGGGTGAAGGCATCCTCTTCAATTTGTCCCTGTGTCAGTTTCAGTTTACAGTGGAACCTCTGGTTACAAACACCTCAGGTTACAAACACTTCGGGTTGCAGACTCCACTAACCCAGAAGTAGTTCATCGGGTTAAGAACTTTACCTCAGGATGAGAACAGAAATCGCGCGGCAGCAGTGGGAGGCCCCATTAGCTAAAGTGGTACCTCAGGTTAAGAATGGTTTCAGGTTAAGAACGGACCTCCAGAACAAATTAAGTTCGTAACCAGAGGTACCACTGTATTAGTTAGCTTTTTAGTAAGGCATTTCCCATACAATTTGATACTATTGGTTCATGTTTACTCCTGGCAGGTCTCTCCAGTGTCTGGCTATGAGGGTTCTGGCTTCTGAGAGTAGGTGGGTTATAAGCTCTGTATAATGTGAGTGGTCATTATGATCTTTGAAGATGTTCAGTAGGGCCAGTGCTGGGGTGAGTTCTAATATCTGTTTAGTTATTTTGCATATCTCTTGTAGGACTGCTGTCTAGAAGGGTTGGATTGGAGGGCATTCCCACCACATGTGGAGGTATGTGCTTGTGGAGGTGCAGCCTCTCCAGCATCTTGGTGAGGTTCCTGGGCGTATCAGTGCCAGTTTCCATGGTGTGAAGTACCACCTGTATTGTAGGTGAGTTCCAGAGTTCCATTCTTTTGGCTGATATGGTCTTAAAGGGAGGTTTAGACCATATTCTAGTGCATTGGGTAGTGTTAATTTCATAGCCTATGTTGTGCTCCCATTGTTCTTTGATTGTGTCAAGGGGGTTGTGGGATTTTGGAGCAATATTTTTTATATTGTGGATACCATCCCTTTGCTGTGTCCCTCTGCTGTCAAAAGAAAGTTTTTGAAGGTGGTCAAGGGCCTAATGGCTGATGATTTTACTACTGGGTTGTTTAAGAAGGCATGTAGTTGATGGTGTGTTAGCCAAGGTATTTAGGTGTCCCCTAGTTTGTCTTGGATTTCATGTGTTCATAGAATCATAGAATCATAGAGTTGGAAGAGACCACAAGGGCGATCGAGTCCAACCCCCTGCCAAGCAGGAATGCCAAGTTGGTATGGGTTTGTTGTTTTCATAGAAGTCTCTTAGACAATGCAGGCCTTTGGCTTGTCAGGTTTTCATCTGGAGGTTTTTTCTTCTTTTCTGTTTGACTCTGGAGGCCTCCAGGCCTTGGAACTCTGCTGGGCTGTCGATGAGATCCTTCAGGTCCCAGTGGGGTCAAGGCCACTGGGGAGACTGGAAGGTGCAGTCTCCCTGGTTGTCGTGTTGGGCCCCGTGCTAACCTACTGGTCACAGCAGCAGCAGCGGCCGAGTTGGCAGTGCGGGCACCAGCCAGGCAGCGCCATTGGTGCTTGTGGTCCTCAGAGGCTCTATGCTGCTGTGGGGCTTGCCATCTTGGCTCACTGGAAGTCCACACTGGTGCACTTTCAAACATCTGTCCCTAAATGCAGTTCAATTATTACTTTGCAGTTCAAAGAATTTCACAATGCTGCCCTTTACTCCCATTATAACAGATTAATTTTACAGATAATCCAGAGTGACAGGTCTGCGGCCAGATTCAAGAGAGTTTGAATCTGTTCTGGAAAGCATTAGTTTGTGGAAGTGGGCACTTCCCCCTTGAGTAAACATTAAACTGAAAGGCAAATCATCCAAGATATAGCTTTGAAAAGTTGTGGAGGAGAAGGAAAAATTGGAGGGAAAAAGCAGGACATTTTCAATTTTACTGGGTGGTTTAATGACTCACTAGAGACAGTACCTAGCAGAATATATATGCTGCTCACTGCAGTTGCAAGACATTGTCCTCGACCAAACTGCACTGTAGCTTTCATTATAACCACTGCAAAAAAAATTGCTTGCTGAAACGAAATGGATTGGACAGAGCCGATTCCAGCATTGTTCCTCTTTATCCTTATGATTTACTTTGTTTTGAAACTGGGCACTATCTGGAACAAGAGCTCCCAAAATCTTCCACCAGGTCCAAGGCCTTTACCTCTCATTGGGAATCTCCACATCATGGATCTGAAGAGGCCTCACAGAACCATGTTAAAGGTAAAGCTTCCAGTTCTTCTCATGGCAAGGCTGAAGGGTACTGGGGCAGCCCAATCAGATGAGCGGGGTAGAAAATTACTACTACTACTACTACTACTACTACATATTACATTACATTTTGTTCTTTTAGAGCCTATAAATCTTATCTCCCCTTTGTGTGCTATAGAACCTCCTCTTATCTTTCCCAATAAATAGTCATAGGAGCTAGTTGCAATTTATAACTGGTAATTTGAGAACCCAAAGTCCCCCATTGGCTATCCCCACTAGAAGTGATGAGTGTCAAGAAGACTAATATGAGAGGTAATTGGGCTACTTATGAACAACTGCTAGTTAAAGAAGCGGGGAAGTGGAAAATGAAACCGTATGACCAGGTTAAAGGGAAGGTCTATGATTGGCTACACTATCTCCAATTAAACGAAATGTTTAGGAAAGATATTAAAGATAAAGGGTACGCCGATAAGGACTCCAAATTTCAGACTGAGATAATAAATAACGATCAGAAAATTCTATCTAAAATGTATAACCAGTTGTTAGAGTGGAACCTAATAGATGAATAAGTAAAGTCGGTGATGATACACTGGGCTAGAGATATCAGTCATAACATATATCTTGAAGAGTGGGAGAAACTCTGGAAAAAACACCTCAAATTTACAGCTTGTATAACGCTAAAGGAGAACCTAATGAAGATGTTTTACCGATGGTATATGACTCCTGCAAAATTGGCAAAAATGTATAAAACTTGTAATAAATGCTGGAAATGCAAGGCAAGGGAGGGGTCCTTCTACCATATGTGGTGGGAATGCCAAAAAGTAAAAGGTTTTTGGGAGAATGTATACAATGAAATGAAGAAAATCTTAAGATACACTTTTGAAAAAAAACCTGAGGCTTTTCTGCTAGGACTAGTCGGAAGGGAGATAAAGAAGAAAGATCATAAATTGTTTCAGTATGCAACAACGGCAGCAAGAGTCTTACTAGCTCAAAAGTGGAAACAGGGAGATCTGCCGACAATTGAGGAATGGAGATCCAAATTGTTAGACTACGCGGAGTTGGATAAAATGACAGGGGAAAATTAGATATTTAAAAGACCAGAGGTTCATTGATGACTGGGGGAGATTTACGGATTATCTGGAAAATCTAAGTGAAGGACAGATAACGCTAGTGGGTTTTAAAGGAGCTCTGTGAAAAGAAAGGAGTATTGTCCAAAGAGAAATGGAAGAATTGAGGCAATTAATGTCAATATAAAATAGGAAATGCGTAATCTTATAAAAGATGGTTATGGACGATTTGTGGAGTGGCTGAAGGAAGTCAACTCTAAAAATATGTGAAAATAAGATGTTGAATGTTTGTATTCTGTTTCTATATAAATTAATAAAAATTATGCATGGAAAAAAATATAACTGGTAATTTGAACAAGATGACTGGGGGTGTCTGGTGTCGAATCACGTTTGACTCTGCCTCCATTTTCAAGGATGTAAAAGTGCCGGTGCAAACCTTGCCCAGCCCAACCTTCTTCTTGAGCCTATCTTTCTAAACTAGGTTTGAGAGGTGCCATTAAAGGTATGATCACTTTTATCCTTACAACTGCCTATTTTGTTCTGGTTTCCTGAGCATTCCTAGCAAATATTTGTGCTGCCGCACCACAACTGAACTGGGTGAAAGGGCTGAGCTGCTGTATCACGAGTCCAGCAACTGTTGCTGCTACAGCTATTAGTAGCAAATGTTTTGAAGAGCACTGAGGCATAGACAATGCTCTTTTACTTTATCATTATGTTATTTGGATTCCGTTTTGCATGGTGATTTGCAAAGATACAAAAAGGGAATTCATTCCACAAAATTACTATTCTTAAGTCATATGTTTTCAGCTCGGTCCAAGGCACAATGACATGGAAGTAATTTCTACTGAGTTCAATAGTAGTTATTGAAAAAAGCTGAAAAAAATAGTAAAACTTTGCTACTAGATTCCGTGGAATGTATAAAAGAGTCTTTTCTCTTAGGTAAATGTGCAAGCTAATGCAGTCAGTTCTGTCAGAGATTATTTACATTAATATATTCTTTGGGTATACTCGGTTTCCCATTTTTTCTTCCATTGAATTCCAGTTGTCAAAGCAATATGGCCCCATCTTCAGCATCCAAATGGGACCCCGAAAAACTGTGGTGTTGGCAGGATATGAGACAGTAAAGGAGGCGCTGGTTAATCAGGCGGACGCATTTGCAGACAGGCCCATCGTTCCATTATTTCAAGGGCTTGCACAAGACTTCGGTGAGGCACTTCCCTTTTTATTGAAACTGGTAATGTCCCCCCATGGCAGTAGATAAGCAGAACAAAGGAAACAGAGTCTTCTTACCAGTTAGAATTCTTCAATAATTACAACAAGGGACAACAAATGCCTCCCGCTAGAATGGTGGTGCTCCCAATTAAGGCTCCCCCCTCCCCCTGCCATCCCTATCCACCCACGTCCCTCCTACATCTCATAACCTGAGCATGTAGTTGCTGTGCTTTCTGTTCGGAGACTTTCTGAGCCCTCCTAGATCGAGGGAGGGGGGGAGGATGTTATCCAACGACTGTGAATGTGTAAACCCTCTCTCTTCCAGTGTTTCTTCTCCTAGCTGTTCTCCATCCAGTATTTCCCAGCTTTTGCCTTCTCAGCTATGCCCCTCTGCAAACCACTGATCTAAATCTATACTGTCCTCCTGCTCCTGGGGAGATTCAGGGTGAGGGGGAAGAGGCAGCTCCCACCATGCCTCCTCATGGTAGTTCTCCTCAGCATGATACCTGCCAATAATCGTCCCATGGAAAAGTAATGCCACACACCGGGTGGAAACTGACTAACCATTTTCTGGTCCAGCCTATACAGAGAGGAAACATGAAGGAGGCATAATGTCTGTCCATGGATTACAAAGTATCAAGCTGAGTGCTGCTGGGACCCCTGTCATGTACAAACAATCCTCTACTCTATCCTCTCTATCTATGTGTTCTCAGGTCATGCTCTGATGGCACATCTACCAGCTACTTTGTCAAAGCTCAGAAATCTGAGTCTGAATGGGAGAATAGCTGGGACCCATTCTCAGTTCCGTGGAAGAAATGCAGAACATAATTTATTGATATTTTTGTACAATGACCATGCAGACATGAAACCTTTCTTCCCATCTCTTCAGGTATAGTTCTGTCTAATGGTGAGAACTGGAAAGTGATGCGGCGGTTTGCTGTAAGCACATTACGGGACTACGGAATGGGAAAGAGGTCCATCGAGGATAGAATTGTTGAGGAATGCAGTGTCCTGATAAAGAAATTTGAATCTTACGAAGGTGGGTTGTTTTCCTCTGATGCATAGCTACACTACCATAGTATCGTGTTACATATTCCTAACTTCCAGAAGCACAGATCCCAGTGTGCCTCCAGGGGTGAAGTCAAACCACTGCATAAGCATAGCACTTTAAAGGTGCTTAGAGTGTTGTGTTCCACAGGGCTCATCCACATATCCTCTTCTCCCGTTGCTTTCCCTTGGGAAAAACCACGCTGTTGAGCAATTTGGGCTTTCTCCAGTTGCTATTGGTTCTGATCTACTGCTAAAGAGTGGGTTCCTCCTTGGAAAGGAATGGGGAAGGGGGAGAAATGCTTCAACCATACCTAGAAAGCGTGTGTGAAGTGGAAGTGTGGATGAGCCCATACTTATCGCTAACTCCAGAACTACAGTTTCCATGGTTTCCTGTGGAGACGTAATCGGTCTGTTTCTTCTGTAGTGTGTACATTATACTCCAATAGCTGCTGTGACTTCCAAGCCCCTTTAAGCATTTCTTAGCCCAGCTATGGTCACATCCAGCAGCACTAAGGATCAGTTTCTTTGATAAATGAGGTCTACACATAGGTAAGCTGCCAGTAGGGATTTAAGGCAACAAAGAGCAGACTTTAAAAAAATGCCCTTTCCATACTTGGAATTTCAACAGAATATTTTTGTTTAACTGTCATATTCATGTATAGGAAACCCGATTGAGACCACCACAATTATGAATGCAGCTGTTGCCAATATTATAGTGGCCATACTACTAGGCAAGCGATTTGATTATGAAGATCCCACATACATAAGACTTCTGAAGTTGACCAATGAAAATGCCCAACTTTTTGGAACCTTCTCAGTCACGGTAATCTATTTTTCCAATTAAAACAAACAAACAGTTGATTGTAATAACAGTGTATGCAAAGTGGACAGGGAAACATGTTTATTGTATATTGTTCAGGTTTCACCACAAAACACAGAATATTGGTATCTTGAGAAACTTGGTGATGATTCAAAATATTTAGAAAACTCACATGGCACAGTCATCCCGTAACTGTAACAAAGTCTCTTTTGCACACACGCTTCCTGGCCTCACTGCCATCGGGACTCCAAGGACAAGGAAGAGCAAGTGATAGTTGGTTCCATGATGGCTCAGAAGGGGCCTCCAAGGGCAGATCTCCCTCTCTGAAGGCGGACCTCCAGAGGAGAACTGCCATAGCGTATTATCCCGGGGTTGCACATAAATTATGCTGTGCTGAGTTACCCCATCCCCCATTCCAAATGCCATTCAAGAGTTTTGTTTGTATTTGGGCAGTCATGCTTTGAGAGACCCAGCTGAGAGAACTATACTGAGCTTTCCTAATGTCTCTTTTCCTTTTTTCTCATGTTTATCCTTTCAGCTGTATAACATGTTTCCTGCTCTTGGCTTTCTTTTGGGGGCTCCTAAGACTTTCATTCAAAACAGAGAAGAGCTGTTTGCCTTCATAAATGCCACCTTCATAAAACACCTCAGAGATCTGGATGAAAATGACCAGAGGAGCTTTATTGACTCATTTCTTATCCAACAGCAAGAGGTAATGGAGTCTTTTAAGCTGGCCCAGAATAAGCGTTGCCATTTTCAATTCATGTTTTAAGGGCATATTCGCAAGTGAATGCATAAGTTGTAGTCAGGAAGTCTCACTTCAGAAGGGACCAACCTGGCATACTTCCTCCCCTTTCCCAATAGTCAGCCATTGTTAATGTGTTACAGAAGTTGCCTCTGCAGGGGCAAAGGTTGTGTGCTCACCAGCATTTCTGAAAAAAAATCCCTGATCAAGAAAATAGGCCAATGGGATTATGAATTTCCAGGGGTGGAATTATGTCAGGCTGACCATCGGCTGCTGGAGCTTCTGCCAAGAGAAATAATTATGCAGTGATAAGAGGTAATGGTTCCCAGACTCCCTTTTGATACAAGGGACGATGGGATAATGCCTTATGTGCTGAGAAGAAGGCGTTCTTCACACTGGAGGAGGTAGGAAGCTTTGAGGGTGGGGAGGCATCTCAGAGCAAGAAAAAAACATTGGCCCATGCACTGACCAATCACCCTTAAATTAGGGCTTCAGTTCTTTTAACCATTACTAAGATTGGAAATTAATATGAATTGGAGTTTCTGTTTACCAATTAATTAGCACCCAGAAAAGGAAACAGGTGGTTGGGTGACGACAGAGTTCTAAATAACAGGTTGGAAATTATTTTTAAAGGGTTGGAAAATTTGAAAAGCTGATTTCCTTAAGAATGGAGAGGTTTGATCTTCCTGCAGTCCATGAGACTCTCAAGAGTCTCCTCAAGCACCATAATTCAAAAGCATCAATTCTTCGGCGATCAGCCTTCCTTTATGGTCTAGCTCTCACTTCCATACATCACTACTGGGGAAACCATAGTTTTCACTAGTTGCTTCCTCAGCACAGTCTAAACGCTTCTTGAGCAAGCTCTGGATAGTCACCAATTCTTCTATGAAGTCTTCTGCTGCCGGCACCTACAAGGTGTTGGCTTGTGATGGGAAGGTGCGGAGGTGGTATCCAAGACTGGCAAAAAAGGGAGTCTGTTGCATTGAAGCATGGAGTGCATTGTTGTACATGAACGACCACCAAGGGAAGTTTGGACACCCAATCATCTTGCTAGTAGTTTACATAGCAACATAGATACTGCTGCAACGTGGAATTAGTCCTTTCCGACTGTGCTGGTCCCGTAGGTTAACTGTGAGGCGAGATCCGAGTCCAGTCCGAGGTCGAAGGTGCAGTATGGAGGCAATCCGTCAAAGGTGAAGCTGGGTGCAGGGCAGGGAGTTGGATGAGGTCAGGAGCTCCGGCAGGAAAGCAGGACAGGGTTCCAGCAGGAACAGGCTACCAGCAATGTTGCTCCTGCAACTTGGGACTGGGGCTGGCTGGCATTTATCTGCCCCAAGGCATAGGGCAGCACCGGTCCACAGGTGACTCGCCTCTTCTGGCCTGGAGGTGAGCACTCCTCCTGTGGAATCTTAGTTCCCTCTGCCCCTCTGCCCTGAGCCTCTGCAGCTCAGGAGAGGCTCAAGGGTTGCCCAGAGGCAACCTCAGCTTCCCCTGACGGGGTTGAGAGTGGAGCACCTGCAGGCAATGGGTCCTCCCTCACCTCAGGAGCCAGAGCAGACTCAGCTGGTGCCTGCACCTGAGGATCCAGCACAAGTGAGGACCCTTCAGGCTCATGCCCCAGCTCTGGCTCAGCTAGTTCTGGAGGTGGAGACTCCTGTGCAGGCTGGGATTCCTCAGGTTCAGCATCCGAGTCCAAATCCCAGGCAATCACACTGACTCTCCATTATCTCTGAGTGTGGCACAACTCTACCTTGAGTAGTTGTATGAGCTTCTTCCAGAACTGTGAATTGGGTTCCACAGTTTCAAATCACTCTAAGGGGGAGCCCATGCAACTTGAAAACATGGTCTACAAAGGGCTGTCAGAAGTCCCTTACAGGGCACAAAGTGCACAATCTTTGTGAGCAGGTCTTCTTCTTCTTTGGCGATCACTCGTAGCCGAGTATGATTGTCTTCCATAAACACAGTTTTAACAATGTAAGTGACTGTGGAGGCCAATTCTAGATCCACACGTCCTTCCACAGTGGGGACATTGGTTCCTGAGTGGGAGTTGATCATGGTGTGGATTTGCTCAATTGTCTTTTACGACCGCTAGGTGGTGACCCCACTGGGTGTGGTAATCCAGTCAGGGGAAAAGGGAAGCAGACTATGTTTAGGGCACTTTTTCTAGCCCCTCCCCCTTTTTCGGCTGCTCAGTCATGGATACAGCTGCTGAGCTGTTCAACTGCCTCGTTCCTTGAGTCAGAATGACTGAATCTGTATCCACCACGCATGTACCGGTTCATGACTAGGGGCTTCCAGATTTCACGATCCTGCCCCCATTACCATTTGCTGATCGCTGTGGGACTTTTCAGGTTTGGGTTGGGTTTTTGGAAGACATCTGTGCGTGAATTTGTTTTATGTGTGTAGATCAGTGCACGCTGACCAACGCACAGTCTTCGCAGTAGGTCTCTGTTCCGATGGCATGAAGTAGTCACAACAAACCAGTAGATTCCTATCTGCTGCAGCCTTCATCCGCCTTCACAGCCGTTGTAACATACCGCTTGTTATCATCCACCTGTTCTGCCATTGAGGAGTTCTTTGATCATTCTTTGTCTAGCTCCTTCCCTTTGACCTTACCGCCTTGGGTGACCTGCTGGGAGTATGATATTCCTGACGGCTTCACTCAAAAGGGTCATAGGAACATGCAAGCCCACTCACCATGACAAGGTGATGACCACTGCCCAGAACACTATCTGCTGCTATGATTTTGGCAGTTCCATGATTAAGGTCCATAGCTATGGTTTCCCAAGGGCCTTGTGGGGTGGGCAACTGTTGTAGCAAACCCGCTGGCACTTCTCTGGGTCTCTTTGCCTGCTGACACATCTCAAAAGCTTTGAATATTCCTTGACCACCTCCCTCAACCTCGGCCACCAGAATTGCCTTGTCACATGGTATAGTGTTTTGTGCTGCCCAAAGTGCTAACTTGCGTTTTGTGAAAGCATCCTCCCTAGTCTCCCCCACCATTCTCCCCCTCCTCCGAGGGGAGCAGAGGAGAAGGAGTGGGTGATCTCCAGCCCTCCTCCTCTCTCTCCTCTTCAGTCCAGTCCCTGAAAGAGAAGAAGGAGCTGGATCGCCAAGCTTCCCCTATGTCAGAGACTGGACTGAGGGGAAATGGTGGAAACTGGCCCCCGAACCTTCTAGAGAAGGTAGGCAGTAATAATAATAATAATAATAATAATAATAATAATAATAATAATAATAATTTATTATTTATACCCCGCCCATCTGGCTGGGCTTCCCGAGCCACTCTGGGCGGCTTCCAAAAGAATATTAAAATACTATAATACATCAAACATTAAAAGCTTCCCGAAACAGGGCTGCCTTCAGATGTCTTCAAAAAGCCTGGTAGTTGTTGTTCTCTTCGACATCTGGTGGGAGGGTGTTCCACAGGGAAGGCGCCACTACCGAGAAGGCCCTCTGCCTGGTTCCCTGTAACTTGGCTTCTCGCAGTGAGGGAACTGCCAGAAGGCCCTCGGTGCTGGACCTCAGTGTCCGGGTAGAATGATGGGGGAGGAGACACTCCTTCAGATATACTGGACCAAGGCCGTTTAGGGCTTTAAAGGTCAGCACCAACACTTTGAATTGTGCTTGGAAACGTACTGGGAGCCAATGTAGGTCTTTCAAGACCGGTGTTATGTGGTCTCTGCGGCCGCTCCCAGTCACCAGTCTAGCTGCCGCGTTCTGGATTAATTGCAGTTTCCGGGTCACCTCCTCTCTTAGCTGGTAGATGGAGAACAACAACTGTGACTATGGAGAAGCAAGACATTTTGGGGGGTTGATGCTGAGCCCCTCCATCTTAGGCTCGGGTTGTACATAAGTGTAAACAAACCCTATACCATCATGATGGCATAGTTTGGAAAACCTGGAATCTCTCACTGGTCAGCAAGCAGCAATACTTTGATCATCAGGTGCTGTCAGGTATTCATTTTTATCTCTGCATGTGAAATTTTCTCACTCCATTTGTTTTAACCCATTCATACTCTTTGCAACCCAGGAGGAGAAGAAGAACAAGACGAATGGATACTTCCACAACGAAAACTTAAAAACTGTTGTGGCCAACTTAATAACTGCTGGCATGGAGACCACTTCTACCACACTGCGCTGGGGACTGTTGCTAATGATGAAATATCCTGAAATTCAGAGTGAGTGCTCTTAATTGGGTTGGCTCCCATTATTCTGAGATATCTTAATTCCAGTTATATGTAACTATTAGAGAGATAAAATATTTATAATTTGCATACACACACACACACACACACACACACAATTGTTCAGTCATAAGTTTTACATTTCAACCTGGACTCCCTTTTCCCTCTTTCTGTGGTTCTTTACGTTTCATTTCATATTCCTGCATACTCCAAATTATCCCAACATATTATTTTAGATATAGATTCCTGTATATATTCCATATATATATTGAGACTGCAAGTTTTTCCATTAATCCTGCCAATGTCTTAGTATGTTTACAGTTTGCTTGTAAATATTCAATAAACCATTTCCATTCCTTTCTTTTTTTTAAAAAAAAAGTTATCTTCTGGTTTTTTAAACATCTTAAACATCTTTTTTATTTTATTATATATCATTTCCCAGTAAGCTTTAACCTTATTACAAGACCACCACATATGAATAACGGTACCTTCTTTCTCTTTACATTTCCACCACATATTCAATTTGGGTTTATACATTTTAGCCAATCTACTAGGTGTTAAGTATCATCTATAGAACACTTTCATATAATTTTCTCTTAAACTATAACATTATGTAAATTTTATATCCATGTTCAATAAACTTTCCGTCCATTTCTGTATTATTACCAATAACTATTGTTCAGAGTATCATTGAAGATTTCACTTGTTCTTCCTTTGTCTCCCATTCCAATAATATTTTATACATTTTAGATATCACTTTAACATTACAGTTTAACAGGTCTTCTAAGTGTGATGTTTCATCCCCAACCCCCTGCTATATATCCTCTTTAAATACTTCATTCAAATGATGATATTGTAATCATGTTGTTAACATCTCTGATAAATCATTATTTTAATTTCAATTCTCCACCTTCTCCACTTAAATTTCTATGTTGCCCAATTTTCCATCATGTTTTCCTTTTCCCCCGCTATGGCTTCCAAAGATGAAAGCCATAGAGGTGTTTTGGTCTCCAACAGGTTTTTATACTTATCCCATACTCTATAATATCCCCCCCCCATTATATGGTTTGCATTTTTAAAATTAATTTTAATTGAATTTCTGTTTCATAATATTTAATATTATGATTATTTGGTTTGTAAAACCTTTATGCACTTTCACCTTTTCATACCACAAATAAATGTGCCAACCAAAAATGATATCATGAGCTTCCAAATCTAAAATATGTGGATTCTTCAATAACAACCATTCCTTCAACCAGCACAGACAAGGTGCTTCATAATATTACCTCTTTTAATACAGTTTTCAACACATTAGCTAATTTGTCTGCAAACAGTTTGAATATTTATTCAACAATGCAATAGGCTGGTAGTTCTTAACCAGCTTTAGATCTCTATCTTGCTTGTGAATCAAAGTTATGCATGCACTCTTCTAGGATTTGGGTAACTTTCCTGTATTCAAAGATGTATTCATAATATCTTTTAAAGGTTGTATTAAGTAATCCTTTAATTTTTTTATATTATACTGATGAAAGTCCATAAGGTCAGGGTACGTTCCCCAAGTTACGGTTTAAAATTGCTTGCTGTAATTCCATCATTGTGACAGGTCCATTAACAAATGACATTTTATCTTTTGGTCTCTTAGGTAGTCTGCTGTCTTCTAAATCAGTGTTTCCCAACCGGTGTTCCGCGGCACACTAGTGTGCCGCGAGACGTTGCCTGGTGTGCCGTGGGAGGGAGGCGGGCGCTTTCTCGTTCGCGCCCTGCAGCGAGAAGGGCAGCGCAGCGCCGCAGAAGAGGCCCAGGAGGCAGCAGGCGCCCAGCGCGCGCCTGAGTCCCGCCCAGCTCGCCATGTCCGCCCGCAGCATTGGCGACCCGAGCCAGGCTCCGCGCGCGACGCCCGTCTTATGGCGCGCGCCTCTGCCGAACGCTTAGCCCCGGCGCGAGCGGCTTAGCAACGCCGTCCAATCAGGGCGCATCTTGGCTGGGCGGCCGCGGCATTCTGGGAAATGTAGTCCTCGGGCAGCAGCGGCATTCTGAGAAGGCGCGCTTCTTCGCCGCTGCGCCTTTTCTTCCTCATTCCTTCTTTGCTGGCAACGCAAAAAGAGGCGGAGGAGGAAGAGCTGCTGGAAATGCCTGCGTGGGCATCGGTGCGCGCAGGAGATTTAGGCCGGGTGGGGTTGTTAGAGTCAAGATTTTATTTTGTTTATGTCCATCTTGCTGTTCGTGATACTAAACTACTCTTTATAGATCTCGTTATAACTTGTGTGGGGATTGCTTAATTTCGTTGTGGGCGCTTTGATACGGTTTCTTATGAGTGCATTTGGGTAATTATGTAAATATTGCCATGTCGTAAGCCGCCTTGAGCATGGTTTTTAACTATGGAAACAGCATGCAAATGACGATGATATCTAGGGAGGTTTCAAAGGCTTTGTAAGCAGAGTGAAGGAAAGAAATCCAGATGTGATTGTTACGCATTGTTTTTTGCACCGTGAGGCCCTCGTAGCCAAGACTTTACCAGCAGACCTAGTTCATGTGTTGGATGATGTTGTGCGCATGGTAAACAGGCCCAGGTTGCGCACTGAATAAAGTATTTTATAATTTTTCATATTTCTGTTTACTTACTATTTCATAATAAAGTAATTATAAAATACTATCTTTGTGTTTATTTGATTCCTATTAAAGAGAGTTACTTTATATATAGTCAATATAGGCACAGAGTTAATTTTTTAAACATTTTCTAATGGTGGTGTGCCTCGAGATTTTTTTCATGAAACAAGTGTGCCTTTGCCCAAAAAAGGTTGGGAAACACTGTTCTAAATATCTACCCACTTCTTCTAAATTACCTCATATTAGCTCAATATAGTTCTGTATAAAAACCTCACAAATTGATTTCTTATTTCTTTCAGATTTTGCACAACTCTACCTCCTACATGTATTCTATTAATGCAGGTTTTTTCTTTTTTCTTCTTTATTTGCCAAGTTAATAGTTTCCATGGCTTGTTAGCCTGTTTAAATTGTTTCTGTTTAAATATTTAATTTTCCACTCTATTTCTTGTTTTATTATAATTGAATATTGCATTTGCAACATATTGATATCCTGTTTCACTACCTCTTTTCAAGGGGGATTTATTAATTCTTTCCCTTTCCCTTTTATTTTTTGTAAAAAAATTGTTTTTTCTGCTCTCTAATATTTCTTTGCTATGCGCGTTGCTATGTTTACCCCCCCCCCCACCACATTACTACTTTACTGGCATCCCGTACCACCTTTCAATCTGTCTCTTGGTTCAAATTAATTTCAAAATAATCCTTTAATTTTTTTGCCCCCTTTTTCTAATATTACTTCATCATTTAATAAATTTTCATTTAGTCTCCATCTCATCGGGAAACTTGTCCCTGTTCTTAATTCCACTATTATAGAGTTGTAGTCTCATAATGTTCTTGATAGAATTTCTGCCCTCTTTACCTTAGTATACAAATCTTTAGAAGCCTCCTGTCCCAATCTAGAGAGGCTACACCATTCATATCGCCCATCAAAATAATCTTTTCATTCGAATTTTCAAATAATATTTCTTCTAGCCTCTTTTAAAAATCTAGTTTTTTTTCCTTATTAGGTGCATACACACCAATTAATAATACTTTTTCTCCATGTGATGGTATCTGGGTTATCAATATTCTTCCTTGTTGGTCTTTGAATAATTGTTTTGGGTCCAACCCTGGTTTTATACACATTACAACTCCTCTCTTTTTTGTTACATCAGAAGTTACAAAGTCCTTTCCCAACCTTTTATTTAAGTTTTATTTATCCAAGTTTAACTTCTTTACATGTTCAATTTTATTCCCTTTAGTCTTATTATTTAGCCTATTTACATTCCAAGTTAGAATTTTCAAAGCCATCTTGTTCCATATTTATTTCTCTTTCGCCTCCACCTCAGTTGAATCTTCCTCTTCCTGTCCAAATGCTCTTTCTCTAGCTAACCTTCCACCATATTTTCTCCAAAATCTGTATGGCTCGGTAGGATCATGAAATATTTGGTTTTTACCATTATATGTAAAAGATACCACTTCAGGATATTCCCAGCAGTGATATTTTAATCATGGATGAATTTCTCTCCATCAGTATATCAAGTTATTGGCTAAAATGTTTGTCCTGTTTAAAAAATACCCATGTCACATTCTAGAGATAAAGTATGTGAGCCCAGGGAATTGGAGAACCAGTTTATTCCAGTTCTATGCTGGAGAGATTAGTATTTTGAGAGACAAAAGCCAAATCAAAGAGATAATCTTAGCAGGAAAATTAATGCTTTTCTTTTTTGCTTCCCCCAGTAAAGGTCCAAGAAGAAATTGCAAAGGTTGTTGGATCTTCTCAGCCAAGGATTGAACACCGAAGAAAAATGCCTTATACAGATGCCGTGGTCCATGAGATCCAGAGGATTGCCAATATTAACCCAACCAACCTGCCACATGCCACGGCTACAGATGTTACCCTTAATGGCTACTTCATTCCAAAGGTGATACATTTCATTGAACTGCTGCCCACAAGTTACAATATATTTAAAATAAAAAAAAAATCCTTCCAGTAGCACCTTAAAGACCAACTAAGTTAGTTCTTGGTATGAGCTTCCGTGTGCATGCACACTTCTTCAGATACACTGAAACAGAAGTTGCCAGATCCTTCTATATAGTGAGAAGGTGGGGAGGGGTATTACTCAGAAGGGTGGTTGGAATGGGTGATTGGCAGATAGCTGAGATGAGCCTGTTGACGACTCTTAACGACTGCAATAGGTCTTACAGGAAAAGGCAAGGGGTGAGAAGGTGAAAAATGGCTTAGTCATGTATAATGAGATAAGAATCCAATGTCTTTGTTCAGACCAGGTCTCTCCATGGTTTTAAGTTTGGTAATGAGTTGCAATTCAGCAGCTTCTCTTTCCAGTCTATTTCTGAAATTCCTTTGTAGTAAAACAGCTACTTTGAGATCTTGTATAGAATGTCCTGGGAGATTGAAGTGTTCTCCTACTGGTTTCTCTGTTTTGTGATTCTTAATGTCAGATTTATGTCCGTTTATTCTTTGGCGTAAGGTTTGGCCTGTTTGTCCAATGTAGAGAGCTGAAGGACACTGTTGGCATTTGATGGCATACACAATGTTAGACGATGAGCAATTAAATAGTCCCGAGATGGTATGTGTGATGTTGTTGGGGCCAGTAATGGTGTTGTCCGGGTGTATGTGGCAGCAAAGTTGGCATCTGGGTTTATTGCAGGCTCTGGTGCCAGTGTCCGTGTTAATTCTGGTTGCAGTATTATTGTGGGTTAGGAGTTGTTTAAGATTGGGTGGCTGTCTGTAGGCAATGAAAGGTCTTCCTCCCAGAGCTTGAGAAAGAGAACTGTCATGGGATGTTGGTATACAGAGATTCCACATCCATAGTAGCTAGTATAGTATTGTTGGGAAGATTATTTAAAGATTGTATTTTCCTCAGAAAATCTGTGGTGTCACGTACATAGCTGGGAGCACTGATGGCATATGGTTTCAGAACAGAGTCCATATAACCGGAGACACCCACTGTAATAGTGCCAATACCTGAAATGATGGGGCGTCCTGGATTTCCTGGTTTGTGTATTTTAGGTAGAAGATAGAAAGTTCCTGGTCGAAATCCAGGTCCTGGTCGAAATCCAGGACGTCCCATCATTTCAGGTATTGGCACTATTACAGGACATTCTATACAAGATCTCAAAGTAATTCCTACAAAGGAATTTCAGAAATAGACTGGAAAGAGAAGCTGCTGAATTGCAACTCATTACCAAACTTAAAACCATGGAGAGACCTGGTCTGAACAAAGACATTGGATTCTTATCTCATTATACATGACTAAGCCATTTTTCACCTTCTCACCCCTTGCCTTTTCCTGTAAGACCTATTGCAGTCGTTAAGAGTCGTCAACAGGCTCATCTCAGCTATCTGCCAATCACCCATTCCTACCACCCTTCTGAGTAATACCCCTCCCCACCTTCTCACTATATAGAAGGATCTGGCAACTTCTGTTTCAGTGTATCTGAAGAAGTGTGCATGCACACGAAAGCTCATACCAAGAACTAACTTAGTTGGTCTTTAAGGTGCTACTGGAAGGAATTTTTTTGTTTTGACTATGGCAGACCAACACGGCTACCTATCTGTAACTGGAAATATATTTAAAGGCTATCCTGGGAGTAAGCCCCTTGGACTTCAGTGTGGGTGACATCTGAGCAGACTTGTATAGGATTGCACTGTAAGCATGCAATCTACCCTTAGGAAGCTGTCAGGCATCAGCTTCAACCCATTAAACACATCTCAGTGGGAAGGAGAACAAGGTTGGAAAAGAAACAACCTTCTGGTGGGAGATCATAATAATAATAATAATAATATAATAATAATAATAATAATAATAATAATAATAATAATAATAATAATAATTTATTATTTGTACCCCGCCCATCTGGCTGGGTTTCCCCAGCCACTCTGGGCGGCTTCCATAGAAACCAAAAATACACTAAAATGTCACACGTTAAAAACTTCCCTGAACAGGGCTGCCTTAAGATGTCTTCTGAATGTCAGGTAGTTGTTTATCACTTTGACATCTGATGGGAGGGCGTTCCACAGGGCGGGTGCCACTACTGAGAAGGCCCTCTGCCTGGTTCCCTGTAGCTTTACCTCTCGCAATGAGGGAACTGCCAGAAGGCCCTCGGCGCTGGACCTCAGCGTCCGGGCAGAACGATGGGGGTGGAGACGCTCCTTCAGGTATACTGGGCCGAGGCCGTTTAGGGGCTTTAAAGGTCAACACCAGCACTTTGAATTGTGCTTGGAAACGTACTGGGAGCCAATGTAGGTCTTTCAAGACCGGTGTTATGTGGTCTTGGCGGCCGCCCCCAGTCACCAGTCTAGTTGCTGCATTCTGGATTAGTTGTAGTTTCCGAGTCACCTTCAAAGGTAGCCCAACGTAGAGCACATTGCAGTAGTCAAAGTGAGAGATAACTAGAGCATGCACCACTCTGGCGAGACAGTCTGCGGGCAGGTAGAGTCTCAGCCTGCGTACCAGGTGGAGTTGGTAGACAGCTGCCCTGCATACAGAATTGACCTGCGCCTCCATGGACAGCTGTGAGTCCAAAATGACTCCCAGGCTGCGCACCTGGTCCTTCAGGGGCAAAGTTACCCTATTCAGGACCAGGGAGTCCTCCACACCAGCCCGCCCCCTGTCCCCCCAAAAACAGTATTTCTGTCTTGTCAGGATTCAACTTCAATCCGTTAGCTGCCATCCATCCTCCAACCGCCTCCAGGCACTCACACAGGACCTTCACCACCTTCACTGGTTCTGATTTGAAAGAGAGGTAGAGCTGGGTATCATCTGCATATTGATGGACACCCAGTCCAAACCCCCTGATGATCTCTCCCAGCAGCTTCATATAGATGTTAAAAATCATGGGGGAGAGGACGGAACCCTGAGGCACCCCACAAGTGAGGGCCCAGGGGTCTGAACACGCATCCCCCACCACCACTTTCTGAACACGGCCCAGGAGGAAGGAGCGAAACCACTGTATAACAGTGCCCCCAGCTCCCAGCCCCTCTAGACGGTCCAGAAGGATGTTATGGCCGCTGAGAGATCTAGCAGAACTAGGAAACAACTCTCACATTTGTCCCTAGCTCGCCGTAGATCATCAACCAGTGCGACCAAGGCAGTTTCAGTCCCATGATGAGGCCTGAATCCCAATTGGAAGGGATCCAAATGGTCCGCATCCTCCAGGCTTGCCTGGAGTTGTTCAGCAACCACGTGCTCAATCACCTTGCCCAAGAATGGAAGATTTGAGACTGGGCGGGGTGGCGCCATCGGCAATGGCGGACTCCCTCTGAACCGGAGGGACCAGCTCTGCGTGAAACGGGTCTTTTCCGCTGTGGCGAAGCGGGGACCCTTTTAGAAATCACAGGCGGATGAACCCTTAGCGCCCCCCAACCCGCAAAGGAACCCACTAACGGGCTCCGAAGCGAAGAGGGGGAAGTGGCGCGGTGCTGTGAGTCAATTGCTTTTTCCGTGGAGCGAAGCCGCATAGCCGTTGCCAGAGAGCGCTGCCTTTTTCCTGGGACAATTTGGCATCTAAAATAATCCCCCGTGAGTACTTAAACATTGAACAATTGGACTTCAAATAAGAACTGGCGATTAGAAAGGAATTGGACTTAAAAATTCACCTTAATTTGGTAGTGAAACAGGAAGGTCTAAACAGGAAGTCAGCCTTCTGTTTCCTTGTAGTCAGGAGAAAGCAAAGACAACGTAAACTAGAGCTTAGAAAATCACTTTCAAAGGATTGGTTTTCACCATTTAAAATTGTTGAACCCCCCTTCGGTAGCAGGAGAAGAAGGGGGATCTTTTTTGGACTATTTAAACCTGCAGAAGTGAGTTTAAAGTAAAGTAACTTTCCACCGTCCTGATCTTGGAGCGGGGTGTCAGAATTGACGTTTGAAGCTCATTGACCAGAGACAAATGTTTTTGACAGACAGTTAAAAGAAGAGCAACATTGTGATTCCACTGTTTCCTTTCGCATTTTAAAAGAACAAATATTGACAAAATATCTTAAAAAAAGAAACTTTGTTGCTATTGTCCTTAAAAGAAAGAACAACCAGAAGTTTTCCCCCTAGAGGGGGACTGTGAAACTGTAACTAATTCTAGGGAGCTTGCAGCTGCCACAGATTACAACCGTAGGAATGGACTTGTGACCTTGCAGGACAATGTTTTCAGAAGCACTGTTGGGTGCTTTCTGTAAAATAAATGCCCTATTGGATCAGTTAAGTCAGAAGACGGATTTGATGACTAATGCGGCCAGAAGATTTGAACAGGTAGTGGGAAACTATATGGAGCCCACCCAGGAACTCAAACAGGAGTGTGCCATGACAGAACAGTTGAGAGAAGAGGATGTTGCTGAATCTTGGGCGCCAGAAGGGGAGGAACTTTTGGCCCTGCAGGAAAATGAGCCTTTGGATTTGACAAATGAACTTGGAAAAAACCAGATTTGGAAAGATAAAGTTTGGATTGATTTGGAAATGGGGGGTTGGACTGACCCCCCTATGCAGAGATGTTTGGACTTTCCGAGTCTGGCAATGGGCCGTCAGATGTTTGGAGCTGTGGGGGCTCCTAATTTTGGAGGGAATTTGAAACATGTCTTAAAATACCACATGGAGTCTAGTCTGGACTATGGGAAAGGGGCTGATTTGTTGAAAAGGGTCAAAAACACTACCAAGCTGGAGTTCCCACGTGTGAAAGGAAAATATGAAGAAGAGCTGTGGAAGGGACATGGAAGAGACTTGAAGGCCTCGGATATAAGATCACCAGGTTAATGTGCCAGACTAATGGGATAAAAAGGACTGACAAACCCGGGACCAGGAGGAAGGGACGCTGGAAGAAGATTGGATTGTTCTTATTTCTTTTTTCTATCATTAGGAATGTTTTATAAAATTGATGAATGTTAGAAAAATGTTGAAATGAAATCATTTGGCTCTTGTAAAAATGTTTAAAGAATTAGGTAAAAAGGTTATGGTTATGAGAAGTTGGTAAAAATAAGATTTAAGTCTTAAGCTTTAAGGTTTTTTATAAGATAAGATGAAAATAGAGTAAGGTAATGTAATGACAGAATACTATGAATTATGGAAAGGATTTGCTGTGACAACTATTAATCAAGATACAAGAAAAGGGAGGAGGAGGAGGTCATAGAAATAAGGTAATGAAAGTGGAGAATTTGAAAATGATGGTTTTATTCTTTCTTTTTCTTTTTCTGTTTTGTCTTTTTTCTTTGTAATTTTTTTAAAAAATTCTTTTTTCAATAATTATTATTTTTTTAAAGATAGTTGGCCATACTGGCTGGGTCTAAAGATGTTTTTTTAAGAAGCGGTTTAATGACCGCCTCTTTCAGCGGATCTGGGAATGTTCCCTCACAGAGGGAAGCATTCACCACCCCGCAGAGCCCATCGCCCAGCCCTTCCCGGCTTGCTTTTATTAGCCAGGATGGGCAAGGATCAAGGAGACAGGTGGTTGGTTTCACGCGTCCAAGCAGCCTGTCCACATCCTCGCGGGTAACGGATTGAAATTGATTCCATGCAACTTGACCAGACAGGGCTCTAGCACTCTCCCGCCCCAGCCCTGCTCCCACGGTGGTGTCTAACTCCTTCCGAATATGAGTGATTTTATCTGCAAAAAAAACTTTGCAAAATCATTGCAGGAGATCTTGGGGTCTTTACAGGGCCCCGGTGGTAAAGGTGGTTCCGTTAAATTGCGGACCACCTGAAAGAGTCTCCTGCTACTATTTTCTGCAGATGCAATAGAGGCGGTGAAGAAAGTCTTCTTCGCCGTCGCTATCGCCACTTGGTAGGCTCGACGTTGAGCTCTAACCTGTGTCCGGTCAGATTCAGAATGAGTTTTCTACCACCGACACTCTAGCCGTCTCAGCAATTGTTTCATCGCCCTCAGCTCCGAAGAAAACCGGGCTCCATGCAATCAGAGAGGGCACTTCGGAGCCAGACGGTCGATAGCCCTGGTTAACTCCGCATTCCAGCGGGCCACGAGGGAATCAGCTGAAAGGCCATCAACATGGGATAAAGCATCCCCTACCACTCTCTGGAAACCATTTGGATCCATTAAGTGGCGGGGGCGGACCATGCAAATTGGTCCCACCTCCCTGCAGAGGGGAAGGGTTGTGGAGAAGTCCAGTTGCACCAGGAAGTGATCTGACCATGGCACTTCTTTTGTTTCACTTTTACTTAGTGTCAGATCACCCACGTCACTAGAGGTGAACACCAGGTCTAAGGCATGCCCATGACTATGAGTTGGGCCCAACTTATTCAGGGACAGCCCCATGGAGGCCATGCTTTCCATGAAGTCCCGAGCGGCCCCTTGTAAGGTCGTGTCGGCATGGATGTTAAAATCCCCTAGGACGACCAAACTAGGTGTCTCCAGGAGAACATCCGCCACGACCTGAAGCAGCTCGGACAGGGAATCCTTGGTGCAGTGGGGAGGTCGGTACACCAAAAGGAATCCTGTACTGCCCCTATTGCCCAACTTCTAGAACATGCACTCATAAAACTGGGTCTTCCCAATAGGACGCCTGATGCAAACTAATGACTTCCTAAAAATCACTGCAACCGCCCCTCCCCGCCCACATGACCTGGGTTGCTGTGCGTAAGAGAAACCTGGTGGGCAAGCAGCGGCAAGGACAGGCCCATCTGCTTCCTCCAACCAGGTCTCTGTCACACATGCCAGGTCAAATCCTCCATCCACAATCAGGTCATGGATGGCAGTGGTTTTATTCATCATTGACCTGGCATTACACAGCAACACCTTCAGGTCATGTGGGTTTCCCCTGTTGATTCCAGTATCCATCCGGTCAAGGCCAGACCCGGAGGCAGGGATAGTCTTCAAACAACGACTAAACCTGCCTCCTCGGTAATGACATGGTCTGGTCTTAGCTTAACTCCGCCTCCTGCCCATGATCACCGAGATTGGATGTCCCAGTGCTTCCCCCCCTGTGGAACATGTCCCAGCCATTGTGTTGGCTGGGGCCCCACTCCCAGGCAGCCCTGATCCCGCCCCTTAAAACCAAAACACAAACTATACAGAACCAATAAAACAACAAAAAACAAGAACAGAACAATTATACTAAAATTAATCCCCAACCAAATATCAAAAGGAAAAAAGGAAATAAATAAAATTTAAATTGCCACTGACTGCTTGAGGACATTTTAAAACACATTAACCACTTGGAACAGGGAAGCAATGGCAGAACACTTCCCACACTTCCCCAAATGTTTGTTCCAAGTAAGGGCCTGGGCCACGCCCCCTAGGCCAGTTGGAAAAGGCCCTGGAAGGGAACAGGCCCTGCAGTCCTTCCCATAGCCGATGGTCCATGACTTATATGTTAAAGTTTTTCGAACTAAAGACATTTCTCAGATGAACTTAAATCTCATTTCTCCTGCACTGAATCTTCATTGTACCAGAGGCATATGTTTATTTTTAAATAACTCTTGCTTTGCCTTTGCAGGGGACATACATCATAACATTGCTGTCCTCTGTGCTGCATGATGAATCTCAGTGGGAGAAACCATATAAATTCTATCCTGAGCATTTTCTCAACTCTGAAGGAAAATTCATAAAGAGAGATGCTTTCATGCCTTTCTCTGCAGGTAACTTTTTTTTAAAAACTTTTGTGTATACTTGCATAGTGTGTGCTTAGTCAATGGGATTTTAACATGCATGGAATGTAACCTATTGTGCAAAGGTAAGAATCACATCCGTTGCTGTGGCCATTTCTGCCACTAGATCTGGCCACCATTGGTGTGCGGCCCCTGGAATGTTGCTCACCAGGGAATGTGGCCCTCAGGCTGAGAAAGGTTTTCCATCCCTGGTTTTCAGCATTGCAGGATGGCTCATATTGGGAGCTCATAATTCTTTTAAGATGGGCACCATGAACTGTTATTTTGATCTCTGCATTTTAGTCTGCTTTAAAGTATTTGTGATGATGCTATTGAGCAACTGCTAAACCCAGTTTCTCTGCTGCCTGTGTGTCCTTACAGGTCGGAGAGCATGTATAGGTGAGACTCTTGCCAAAATGGAGCTCTTCCTCTTCTTCACAAGTCTCCTGCAGAGATTCACCTTCCAGCCACCCCCTGGAACATCTCAAGAAGACCTGGATCTTACTCCTGCTGTTGGGGTTATAACACCTCCCATGCCCCACCAGCTCTGCGCTCTACCACGTTCCTAAGGTTCACAAGCTCCTGGCTTGCTTAGCCTACCTGCGTGTGCAATGCAAGCCTTTTTTTAAACACCCCTATTCAACAGGGGTGTTTTGATTGAGTAGCCTAGTGGTGGAATTGGTGCATGCTTTGTCACAAACCTGAAGTGTTCCCCTTTACCTGCCATACAGCCGAATCCCGTGAAACTAGCATTGGAGCATCTCTTACTTAAAACCTGGCCCTGAGTTCTTATGACACTTGAGGCATAGAGATCAATCAGCAAAGCTGGTTTCATGTATTCCCATGTTAAGGTATACCTTCAAATATCTTGAAGCATCATATTCCCAGGTAGATGTGCAGAGAATTGTGACCAAGACAATAAAGAGTCTGGAAGCCATGCCTTATGCTGAAGTTGAGGAAGTTGGGTATATTAGCTTCTATGGCTCCAATGTAGTCAAGTCAAGTAACCTTTATTGGCATTACATAAGAACATTCAGAATACATTCAGAATAGATAGGCCAGTGCGATCTCGCCGCCACCCCAATGGCACAGTCACCCGCCAAAGGGCAGAAGAGGTGAGCAATCCACCTCATCTCTGTGGGTTTCCAGCAAGGGCAGGATCCTGTAGCATACTTCCGCAACAAAAAATCAAATAGAGGAACTTAGCTACTGTCTTGGTGAGCTCCTGGTCTCTCCCCTGTAATAAGAAGTGCATAACCTCCGTCCTCTGGTTTCCATGTTGGAATACATAGATGGTCTAGAAACTGTTGGCGGAGATCATCATACATTTTACATTTAAGGGCCATGTGAGCTGGAGTTTCCACCAGGTGGGCATCACATGGGCAGATCCTATCTCCTTCTGCCAAACCTGCAAACCTACCCCAAGGGAGGTTAGAAGGATTAGAATTGAACCTAGTCAGTGAAAAGGCCCTTCTTTCTTGCGCATTAAACGAATATTGTAAATAATTAAGATTAAATTCCTGCACCCAAGAGAGTTGCAAATAAAGAGGGGAGCATGTTTTTTCCCCAACTGAGATTAGTTCCTGCAGATCTATGCCCACAGCCTAGTTTTTAACATGGTCTTTGGCAACTGGGAAAGCCGCACCGTCCAGAAGATCCTCTGAAAGCCCGAGTTGCCGTATCTTTGTGCGAAACAGTTGTAGCCCTGGGGAAGGGAAGGAGTCAGACAGAACTTCACTGAGTAAGGGATCTTTGTCTGCTGAAAAACAGATGTTTAGCCAGCATAAAAGAAAACTCGTCCAGGCAACTGTCTCTAGCCTATGTTGGCCTCCCTCGAAACACAGGGCTGCGTAAGGTACGCATCATGGGACAGCAAAGATCTTAACTAGAAAGGCTGCCTGCACTCTTTCCGCTGACTGGGAAAACCCTGACATCCAGATTGGAATTCCATAGAGCAGTTGAGCTCTGGCTTTAGCATTAAAAGCCTTGAGGGCTGAAGGGATGTGTTGGTTACCTCTTGTTGCAAAGAAGTGCAATATGGCCCGCATGGACAGCTTGTTGGCGTTTACTGCCCCTGCGCAGTGTGAAGACCACCGGAGCCTGTGATGGAAAGTGATCCCCAAGTAGTTGAATTCAAATATCTCCTGGATGTGTTTCCCACCAAAAAACCCAAATATATCTGTCAGAGCTGCTTCCAGATCCTAGCTCACAGAGGATCACGCTAGCCAGCGTTCACTTTATAAAAATCTTTATTGAGTTACAGTTTCCATTTCCAAGCTGCCGCGTGCAGCTCTACGTCTTATAAGCTAGACCGGCGAAGCTCCGTCTGAGTCTCCGCCCCTTGTACACCAACTTAATACCCTCGCCTTACTCCACCTTTTCCGCCTGACCGTCCTTCTCTGGGTCCCTCTGCCCCCCGTGGTCTCTTCCTTCCTGGACTCCTCTGACGCTGACCCCCCGGACCCTCCTGTCTCCTTGCGTCGGGCTTTAGGACCTGGCTCCCTTTCCGGGCTGCTTACTGCGCTGCCTTCCTGTGCATTTGAACTTGGCGCGCGCGCCCAACCTTCCACTTTCCGCTTGACCGTTTCTTCGCTCCCCGATGGAGGTGTGGCCACTCCTGACTCATGCCCTCCTCCCTGCTGCGAGCTGCCAGAGCTCGATACCTGACGCCCTTCCTCTCCACTGCGCTCTGCTGGGGACGCTGGCCCCGATTTCCAACTGCTGCCCTCTGAACCCCCGCTGGCCCCTTCTTCCTGGGGTGTCCCCCTAGGCTCCCCCTTTGCTCTGGCCACTGGCGCTCCTTTCTGTGAATCTTCTGATTCACTGGAAAGACTCGGAGATCTCGGGTCGTCGTCATCACTCATCTTTTCTTCGGACTCCTCCCCCTCGCTCTCTGTTTCCTCCCTTGCCCTCGCCTCTGCTCCTGAACCCCTGACAATATCTCTTACGAGAATTCCTGAAAACCATTATTTTGCTTTTGTCAAAATTCATACTCATTTTCATACTAGACAGATAGTCAATACAGCCATTTAACAAATGCTTTAAGCCAATTCTAGTCCGTGAGAGCAGAAACATATCATCTGCATATAGGAGAATGGGAATTTTTGATGCATTGAGTTTTGGGCTGTGAGCATCCACCAGTTTTAGTAATGGGGCAGGTTCATTTAAGAAGAGATTAAAAAGAGAGGGAGCAAGAACACAGCCCTGTTTCACACCTTGATTTATAGCAACAGGGTCTGACACATCGTCCCCTGGAGTTATTCTTATACGACAGGTATTATTTGAGTAAAGCTTTTTAATCAGGTAAAGTAACCTGGGGTCTAAGCCCAGTGTCTCCAGTTTGGACCATAACAGCCCCCTGTCGACTGAGTCAAAAGCAGCCTTAAGCTCTAAAAAGGCCACAAATAGTCCTTCCTTATGGTGCCGCATGTACTTGGTGGCTAAATGGGATAACACTATAAGTTACGTAAAGTGGATTTCCTGGCCTAAAAACTGCCTGCTCTGGGCCTATGATGATGTTCAGGTCAAGCCATGTAGTTAATTTGGATAATAGATGTTTGCATACAATTTCCCAATATTTGACAATAGGCTTATTGGTCGATAGTTCGAAGGTAACTTTTTGTCCCGCTTTTTAAAGATTGGAATAATTATGGAATTCTGCCATGAATTAGGCAGAATTCCAGTTTTGTCCACCACAGTGGATCGCTAGTATCGGAGCCCACCAGTCTGGCTTGGCTTTAACTAGTTCAGACAGGATGGCTCCAATGTATTTGGATCCTGTAGAAGACAAGGCTATACAATTCTGTATATAACTACCCAGGAGATTGGACCATTGGCAGACATAAAGACATACCCACCCACAGATTTATAGTTTTTTGCACCCCCAGCCCATTCAGTGTCCATGTAACCTACCAGTTCAGGATCACTGTAAGTTGGCAACTTTAATTTACAGTTCATTATACCATTTAGATGTCTAACAACTCTCTTGATAGCTGTCCAGTCGTGTTCAGTAGGAACTTTCACTTTTCTGCTCAGAATAATCACTGCATTTGATATAACCAACCTGCATGTCATGGTCAGGTATAAAAGTATTGCTGACCTGTATTTGTTGTTGTCAGGCAATGGCTTTGTTTCCTCCTGGTTCTTTAAAAAGTCTGTAGTAATAGATGGGTTTGCCTTTGGCATCTCCATGCTGTCAGTTAGTTAAGTGACTTTCTGTTTCTGGCTTAGAATAAAACAGCCATCTTCTCTCTGTATCTGGACTAGCTACTGCTCTGAGAGGGAAGAGGGAGCTAATCCCTTTCACATTGGAGTCAGTGGAAGTCACCATGGTCTCACCAGGAAATAGAAAAAAATGTCTGGTTTGAATCTCTCTTCTCTCTTAAGAAAATCCAGCCACACCCACTATAATACTTTGAATTTTGTCTTCACTGGGCCCCATAAACTTTGTAGGAATGGATTTAGGCACTACGAGAGGATGTACGGTTTAGTTATTGTCCTTCCTTGTTCACATTGTTGCATGTCATATGCTCTAATGTATACAAAGATATACCCTAATGCCATCATGTTAAACAGTTTCAAGATGAAAATGAATAAAAACTATGCTAAAAAGAAAAATATGTGTGAGTGTTTCAATGGGAGAAAGTTCAGGAAATACTGGACACAATGCAGTCGTACCTAAATAAAGTGGAATAATTTCATCTGCGAATGATTTCACAATGCTGCTCTCTACTCCCAGTGTAACAAACAAACTAAGTTTACAGGTAATCCTAGGTGATGAGTTCACTGCCTTCAAGAGCATTTGGATCTGTTCTGGAACATAGCTGTCAACTTGCAGATTTGAAAATAAGGGACCAGCAGCCTTGAAAATAAGGAATCAGCAGCCAAAATAAGGGATTTTAGTCAACCAGCAGCCAAACGAAGCCTCAAGTGGTGGTTCCCACAGCGCAGCAACCCGGCCAAGGGGATGCAGCAAGGAAAACCACCGTCACCTCTCCGCTGGGAAGCGCTGAGCAAAGGCGAGTCCCCAGGCAACGCGGCCGATTTGATCGGCACAAAGCATGCAAGCTACACCCCCCAGTCGTTCTTAGACTCCTTATTGGGTGAGCAACGCAGCCAAGCAACACAGTTGGAGCCTCCCTCCTCCCTGGCCGGCAGGGAGGGAGGGAGAGGAGCTACTTCCTTTGAAACCCGGGAAATTTAAGGGACATCTTCAATAAGGGACAGCAGCTGGACACAGCGCTGGAATAAGGGACTTTCCCACCAAATAAGGGACGGTTGACAGCTATGTTCTGGAAAGCATTACTTTCTGCAAGTAAGCACCACACACTTGAGTATACATTAAACTGAAATGCAAATCATCCATTGTACAGCACTGAATAGTTGTGAAGAAAAAAAATCAGAGGGATGGTTAATGATTCGCTAGAAACATTATGTAACATAATATATGGGCTATTCATTGCAGTTGGTAGACACTGTTGTTGACCAAACTGCACTGTAGTTTTGTTGTTTTTGAAGAAGACTTTTAGACAGTGTTAGCCTTTGGGTTGCCAGGTTTTTATATGGAGGTTTTTGCTTTTTTCTGTTTGGCTCCAGAGGCCTCCAAGTCTTGGAGCTCCGCTCGGGGGTGGAGCAAGGGGGTGCAGTGAGGGCGGGCCACACCGGGTGACATCCTTAGGGAGGGTGACACTCTGCATGTGTATCCCTGCCCATGACTCCAAGCCTACGCCTGTCGGGGCCGCTGGCAAAGTGGCAAAGCTCCCCCCTTCCCTGGCTCACTGTAGGCTTGGGAGTCATGGGCAGGTTGCCCCGTCATCCAGGAAAAAGCCTTGCTCCACAGATCGCCCGCTTGCCCGCTTGGTGCTTCGCTTCCTTCCTGCTTGGGCTGCGAGGGGCGGGCCAGGGAGGGGCATCGGTGGGCCATGAGAAGCGCCCCCTCCCATCCACCCACCAGCTGGTGGCCGGACTCCCTCCTTCCCTCGCCCCTTCCTGACTCTTCTGCATGCACGGAGCAAGAACCAGCCCCTCGCGCTGTAAAACAGGCCCTCTCTAACATTCCAGAGAAACCAAAAAGAAAAGTCACTGTTTTGAGCTCTTTTATGGATACAACGATTAGTTTTGGCTACAACCATTGGGGATTGCACCAGCAGGGTAGAAAAACGCGATTGCAATGCTTTGTTCTGATGCATGGCCTCGCCTTTAATGAAATAATGCGCCCCCCTCCTAGCCATGGTGGCGGTGCTGGGACCAGCCAGGCAGCGCCATTGGTGCTTGTGGTCCTCAGGAGCTCCACGCTGCTATGGCGCTTGCCATCTTGCCTCTCCAGAAGTCCATACTGCTGCACTTTCAGAAATCCATCCCTGAGTGCAGTTCAATAATCACTACAAAGAATTTCACAATGCTGCCCTTTACTCCCCTTATAACAGATTAATTTTACACAAAATCTGGGTGACAGGTCTGCATCCAGGTTCAAGAGAGTTTAATAATGGTTTAATGATTAGCTTCAGACAGTACCTAGCATAATATATATGCTGCGCACTGCAGTTGCAAGATATCGTCCTCAACCAAACTGCACTGTAGCTTTCATTATAACCACTGCAAAACAAATTGCTTGCTGAAACGAAATGGATTGGACGGAGCTGATTCCAGTGTTGTTCCTCTTTATCCTTATGATTTCCTTTGTTTTGAAACTGGGCACTTTCTGGAACAAGAGCTCCCAAAATCTTCCACCAGGACCGAGGCCTTTACCTCTCATTGGGAATCTCCACATCATGGATCGCAAGAGGCCTTACAGAACCATGTTAAAGGTAAAGCTTCCAGTGCTTCTCATGGCAAGGCTAAAGGGTACTGGGGCAGCCCAGTCAGATGAGCGGAGTAGAAAATTAGTATTATTATTATTAACAGGTTTAAGATATGTTTTGTACACCTCAATTTACATAAGAGGGAAACTACAGATAAAGCAATTTACAATGAGGAAAAGCTTTCTGCATAATTAAAACAAACCTTTATTGTCTTTAAAAAAGGTGCCACACATGCCTTATTTGCACATCTTTCACTGTAAGTCACTGCAAAGAGTATATTTGTAATGTGTCAGCATAGCAGCTTGATATTCTGCTTTAAGACAGGGTCTTGAGGTCCCTCCATGTGTTACTAGATTAGCTGAATGGGAAAAGCAAAAAAAGAAAGTTGCACTGAAGTACTGGATTTGCTGAATGAAAGAATTCTTAAACCAATTCAAAAGTAAGTACACTGTCAAGTTGTATTCACAGGAACGTCATGTTAGCACTAGTTTGAAAGTTCACTGCCAACTTTCTTCCATTCCCCCCACTGACTGACACAAAACCTTTTCTGTTTTAAATGCCTGTTTTGAATGTAGGGGTTAAAGTTGTGAGAATAACCCACCCATTGCCCATCCTCCCAGAAAACACTAGTATTACTAGCAATTGTTTCTCACTCCACCCTAGCCCAACTCCTAACATTTCGGAAGATAACTGAACACATTTTACTGTTTGGGTACTATGTGCTCATAACCTGGGTTGAAGGACTTCAAGATTTCAAATAAAAAAATTGTATTTTTATTGGGGGAAATGGACTGATTTAAAAGGAACAAAAAGAGGAATCTAAACTACTCTCAGACTGATTCAATACGGGCATCTAAGAAAATTGATGGAGCTCTCAAAACAGCTGTACACGATCTCATTTTTAAAAATCCAACAGGACAGCACCTTTCAGAGCAATGCAGTTACACCCCCATACCACTTAAACTAAACTGGAAATGTACTCCCAACTGACTCCAAAGAGGCAGTGCAATTCTTCATAGCTGTTACAATTCCACTCCGTCCCCCCGTCATGTGATCTAAAGGCATCCAAACAGAAAACCCTATTATTTCTTTGACCAGTTATTGTGCTCCAGGATTCCAACACCCTGGCATTTATAAGAAGACCAATGAGGGGCAGGGAGCAGCTCTGTTACAGCAATGCCAGTTCCCAGCTTCCTGTAGTCTTATGTGACCTGCTAAATAAAATCTGTGGGTTTTTTCCCTAACTGATGAGTGATGGTTTTATAAACTGCCCATGGAATTAAGACTAAATGGAGATGTCATCCCCTCTGCAACCTGTAAATCCTGCAGCATTTCAAGGGACCTCAAGCCGCAAGATTGAACACGTCCAAGTCCACATGGAGCAATTAGCTAGGGAAGATATGTTAAGAACATACTATTCAGCGTCAGTATTTGAGGTTTCCAAAGAAGCGGGATGCAACCCTGAGATCGTACTTGTGGGAACTTCTTTTGCTCCTGGCATCTCTTTCTAAGGAAATACAAAAAGTTAGGTAAAATGTAACAAAAGCACACAAGACAAATTGCTTATCTTTAAGAAATGTGATTATTACCACACACACATTGGGGGAGGGGCTACACTGCATAAGTAGACTACTGCATTCTTGCAAGTAATCCATTAGAACGCTTAACAAGGAAGTTATCATCTCACTTCTAGTTTTCCCCCCTCTAAAACAATCTGAATTTCTTTGGCATCCAAAGTCTCATAGGTCAGCAATGCTTCCGCTAAATTCTTGTGCTCTTTTGTGCGGTTCTTCAATATATTCTTCGCTCGTTCGTATGATTCCTTTAAAAGCATTCTTATTTCTTGTTCAATTGCGGACTGAGTTTCGGGACTGAGTTTCCCTGTATCTGTGTAGGTCATGACACCAAGCTTCTCACTCATTCCAAACTTAGTCACCATGAGCCTTGCTATTTTAGTAGCGTTGTCAAAATCACTAGAAGCCCCTGTTGTGATGTAATCACTCCCAAATATAAGTTCTTCTGCAACTCTTCCTCCCATGCTAACATCCATCTGGGCAAGCAGCTGGGACCTAGTTTCACTCCACCTGTCATTTTCTGGCAGCAAAGACACATGTCCAAGTGTTGGCCCTCGTGGCATAATGGTAGCTTTGTTGATTGGCATCGCATCTTTAGTATAGTATTCAATAATGGCATGCCCAGATTCATGATAGGCTGTAATTGTTTTATTCTTATCATCAATTTCTACACTTCTACACTCAGGGCCCATAAGAATTTTGTCCTTTGAGAATTCCAGCTCCTTCATAGTAACCATATCCTTCCCATCAACCGCAGCTTTCAATGCAGCTTGGTTCACTAGGTTTTCTAACTCAGCTCCAGAAAATCCTACCGTTCCTCTTGCAATGATTTCTGCATCAATAGATTCATCATACTTTATTTTATTCAGGTACCATTTCAGAATCTCTGTTCGGCCCCTGACATCTGGCCTGGGGACTGTAACTTGCATGTCAAAGCGGCCAGGACGTATCAAAGCATTATCTAAGGCTTCAGGGAAGTTTGTTGCACCAATGATAATGACGCCTTCGTTGGGTTTAAAGCCATCCATTTCAGCAAGGAGCTGATTTATAGTCTGTCTTGAGTAGGGATGCATTGGAGACTCTATCCTTTTGCCACCAACAGAATCCAGCTCATCAATGAATATAACACATGGCACATTCGCTTTGGCTTCCCTAAACAAGTTTCTGATACGACTGGCTCCAACGCCAACAAACATCTCATCAAATTCTGATCCAGAGGCATAATAGAATGGAACATCAGCTTCTCCTGCCACAGCTCTAGCAAGAAGAGTTTTGCCAGTTCCAGGTGGTCCGACCAACAGAATACCTTTAGGAAGTTTACCTCCCAGTACAGTAAATTTCTGAGGATTTTTCAAGAATTCTACCACCTCTTGCAACTCTTGCTTTGCTTCTTCAACCCCTTTGACATGTTCAAATGTAACATTTTTCATATGAATAGGGTCCACAGCTGCGTCAAGTCCAGAAGTTGTTCGAAAACGCACAGATAAAAAAGGAGTTTTTGACAAACCATAAAGGCCAAGCAGGATCAGAACAAGGACAAAGAAACGATTTCGTCTTATGGAATGTTGATTGAGTGACTGTGCTTTCAAAAAGCCCTCTGCAAATCCAGTTTTAAAGGCATCTTGTTGCGCTTCAGGTATCTTTTTTGTTTTCATTAGTTTATCTACACTTTCAACATCAGGTCCTCTATCTCTCAGTAGGAGACCCTTTACAAATGAGGGCGCTACATTTTCTGTTTCTGTTAATCGTTCTGATGAAGACTGCAGCCGTCTTGCTCTTGATTTCAGTGTCTTAAAACCTCGTGTCTGAATAAAAACTGGCCAACGCTGAAGATCTGAACATACACTCTGGAGGGGGCTAGGATGCTGTCTGTACAGGTAAGATGAGCGCAAGACACTAAAGACATCTGCGAAACCATACTTATTTTCAAAGAAGGACTGTGCAGATATATACGATGTTTGGACCGTAATAAAGATTGTGTGTGTGTGTGTGTAACATTATTAACAATAATATCAATAATAGAATACATTTTGTTCTTTTAGAGCCTATAAATCTCATCTCCCCTTTGTGTGCTACAGAACCACCTCTTAACTTTCCCAATCATAGGAGCTAGTTGCAATTTATAATTTGAACAAGGTGTCTGGGGGTGTCTGGTGTCGAATCCCGTTTGACTCTGCCTCCATTTTCAAGGATGCAAAAGTGCCAATACAAACCTTGCCTAGCCCAGCCTCCTCCTTCAGCCTATCTTTCTAAACTAGATTTGAGAGGTGCCATTCAAGGTATAATCACTTTTATCCTTACAACTGCCTAATTTGTTCTGGTTTTCTGATTATTCCTAGCAAATATTTGTTCTGCCACAACTGAATAATAATAATAATTTATTATTTATACCCTGCCCATCTGGCTGGGTTTCCCCGGCCACCCAACAGACTAAGAATATGATAAAACATCAAACATTAAAAACCTCCCTTAAAAGGACTGCCTTCAGGTGTCTTCTAAAAATTAGATAGTTGTTTATTGCCTTGACATCTGTTGCGATGGCGTTCCACAGGGCAGGTGCCACTACCAAGAAGGCACTCTGTCCTGTAACCTGCAACCTCACTTCTCACAGTGAGGGAACCACCATAAGGCCCTGAGCCCTGGACCTGAGTGTCCAGGCTGAACGGTGGGGTTGGAGACGCTCCTTCAGAATACTGGGCCGAGGCCATTTAGGGCTTTAAAGGTCAGCATCAACACTTTGAATAGTGCTTGGAAACGTACTGGGAGCCAACGTAGGTCTTTCAGGACCAGTGGTATATTGTCTCGGCAGCCACTCCCAGTCACCAGTGTAGCTGCCACATTCTGGATTTGTTTCAGTTTCCAGGTCACCTTCAGAAATAGTCCCACATAGAGCACATTGCAGTAGTACAAGCAGGAGATAACTAGAGCATGCACCACTCTGGCAAGACAGTCTGCTGGCAGATAGGGTCTCAGCCTGCGTACCAGACAGCTGCCCTGGACACAGAATTGACCTGCGCCTCCATGGACAGCTGTGAGTCCAAAATGAATCCCAGGCTGCACATCTGGTACTTCAGAGGCACAGTTAACCCATTCAGGACCAGGAGTCCTCCACACCTGCCTGCCTCCTGTCCCCCCAAAACAGTACTTCTGTCTTGTCAGGATTCAACCCCCATCTGTCAGCCACCATCCATCCTCCAACCGCCCCCCGACACTCACACAGGACCTTCACCACCTTCAATGGTTTTTATTTAAAAGAGAGGTAGAGCTGTTTATTATCCGCATACCAAACAAGTGAGAGCCCAGGGGCCTGAACACTCATCCCCCAACACCACTTTCTGGACACGGCCCAGGAGAAAGGAGCAGAACCACCGTATAACAGTGCCCCCAGATCCCAGCCCCTCTAGACGGTCCAGAAGGATGTCATGGTCGATGGTATCAAAGGCCACTGAGAAATCCAGCAGAACTAGGAAACAGCTTTCACCTTTGTCCTTAGCCGGCCAGAAATCACTGACCCGCAGTTTCAGTCCCATGATGAGGCTTGAATCCCAAATGGAAGGGATCCAAATGGTCTGCATTCTCTAGATGTTCCTGGAGTTGTTCAGCAACCACCCGCTCAATCACCTGGCCAAAGAATGGAAGATTTGAGACTGGGTGGTTGTTAATGCAGTCTTGGTTCTGTCAGAGACGATTTGCATTAATATATTCTTTCGGTATGCCAGAACTCTGTTTCTCACTTTTTCTTCTGTTGAATTCCAGTTGTCAAAGCAGTATGGCCCTGTCTTCAGCATCCAAATGGGACCCCAGAAAACTGTGGTGTTGACAGGATATGAGACAGTAAAGGAGGCTCTGGTTAATCAGGCGGACGCATTTGCTGACAGGCCCATCGTTCCAATGTTTCAAGAGCTTGCACAAGGCTTTGGTGAGGCACCTCCCTTTCTATTGGAACTTGTAATGCTTGCAAACACACACTGGTCCCACCAGGTGAACACAATCTGTTCCCAAGAAATGGTTTGTAAGATGAGTGTTTGCGAAGCAAGTCATCGAAATCCATTGTTTCCTGTGGGGGAAATCCTTGTGAATTTTTCAAACAACCTCAGTGCCTTTGACATTGACAGAGTATCTGCAGGCGTTAGGCTGAGAATGTGTCATAAAAAGTGTCACCTGTGGATTTCTGCAGATAAAGCTAAAATGTTAAAAAGAGTAGACCAGGCCAACTTTTTTGGTCTTGACTTTCTGTGGCTCAGTGGGGCTCTGTTGAAGAAACAAAAATGGAGACCAGTTAAAGCAAACCTTTCCCATTCCCACCTACTTCCCAACAGTCATATTGTAGAGCTGGGGGAGAATGAGACAGGAGGATTGTGAATAATAGTCACACAGCAAAGTAATTCCACACACCAAGGGGAAACTGACTGACCATTTTCTGCCCCCGACTATATAGAGAAGAAAAATGAAGGAGGCATAATGGAATACAAAATAAGAAGCTGAGTTCTGCTGGGACGCCTGACATGTAAAAACTACACTCCACTCTAGCCTACACTTTGTAGGGGAAAATATTGATCAATGGGTTCTCAGGTCATGCTCTGATGACACAGCGGCCAGCTACTTTGTCAAAGCTCAGAAGTCTGAATGGGAGAATAGCTGGGATCCATTCTCAGTTCCATGAAAGAAATGCAGAACACAATTTATTGATATTTTTGTACAATGGCCATGCAGACATGAAAGCTTTCCTCCCTCCTCTTTCCTCAGGTGTAGTTTTTTCTAATGGTGAAAACTGGAAAGTAATGCGGCGGTTTGCTTTAAGCACATTACGGGACTACGGAATGGGAAAGAGGACCATAGAGGACAGAATTGTTGAGGAATGCAGTGTCCTGATAAAGAAATTTGAATCTTACGAAGGTGGGTTGGTGTTTTCCTCTGGTGCATAGCTACATTAGCATAGTTTAAAGGTGCCAAGACTATTGTGTTACATATTCCTAACTTCCAGAAGCACAGCTCCCAGGGTTCCCTGCAATTGGTCGGTCCCTGTAAAGTGCAGATTGCACTGCAATAACTCCTGTGACTTCCAAGCATTTCTTAGCCCAGCTATGGCAACATCCAGGGGAAACAGGAAAAAGGAAGTTTTCTCCTGGCTGGTAGAAAGCATCCCATAGCATGTCCATTCTAGGAATGTTGTACTTGACTCCTATGTGTTTTACATCCCACATTTTTAAAAGAGTATTTTTGTTTAACAGTCATATTTATGTATAGGAAACCCATTTGAGACCACCACAATTATGAATGCAGCTGTTGCCAATATAATAGTGGCCCTACTACTAGACAAGAGATTTGATTATGAAGATCCCACATACATAAGACTTCTGAAGTTGGTCAATGAAAATATCCGGCTCGCCGTAAGCTTTTCAGTCACGGTAATCTATTTTTTACAATTAAAACAAACAAATAGTTGATTATAATAACAGTGTATGCAAAGTGGGCAGGGCTACCTGTTTATTGTATATTGTTCAGGGTTCACTACAAAACACAGAATATTGATATCTTGAGAAACCTAGTGCTAATTCAAAATATTCAGAAAACTCACATGGTACAGTCATCCCGTAACTATAATAAAGTCTCTTTTGCACAAACCCTTTCTGGCCTCACTGCCATCGGGACTCCAAGGACAAGGAAGAGCAAGTGATAGTTGGTTCCATGATGGCTCAGAAGGGGCCTCCAAGGGCAGATCTCCCTCTCTGAAGGCGAACCTCCAGAGGAGACCCTTCATAGCCTATTATTCTGGGCTTGCACATAAATTATGCTCCGAGAGACCCAGCTGAGAGTACAATACTGAGTTTTTCTAATGTCTCTTTTTCCTTTTTCACATTTTTATCCTTTCAGCTGTATAACATGTTTCCTGCTCTTGGTTTTCTTCTGGGGGCTTGTAAGACTATCAAGCAAAACAGAGATGAGCTGTTTGCCTTCATAAATGCCACCTTCATAAAACACCTCAGAGATCTGGATGAAAATGACCAGAGGAGCTTTATTGACTCATTTCTTATCCAACAGCAAGAGGTAATGGAGTCTTTTAAGCTGGCCCAGAATAAGCGTTGCCATTTTCAATTCATGTTTTAAGGGCATATTCGCAAGTGAATGCATAAGTTGTAGTCAGGAAGTCTCACTTCAGAAGGGACCAACCTGGCATACTTCCTCCCATTTCCCAATAGTCAGCCGTTGTTAATGTGTTACAGAAGTTGCCTCTGCAGGGTCAATGGTTGCATGCTCAACAGCATTTCTGGAAAAAAAATCCCTGATCAAGAAAACATTTAATTATAGATAATTATGCAGTGATGAGAGGTAATCAAGTCATAAATATCGGAGGATCGTTCTGAAGCCGGGCGGCGGGGGCAGGTGTTCCCTCCCCGCCGCCGGGCTTCGGAGCATCGTTCCGAAGCCCGATGGCGGCGGGAGGAGGCGTTCCCGACCCACCGCCCGGCTTCGGAGGAGGTCCGAGGACATTAGGGAAGACGCGCTGAGCTTCCCCGCTGTCCCGGATATTTCCATATGGGCTGTCGTCTTGCGAAGCAAGCCCATAGGGAAATTCGTCTTGCGAAGCGCCTCCAAAACGGAAAACCCATTCGTCTAGCGGGTTTTCCGTCTTGCGAGGCGTTCGTCTTGCGAGGTACCACTGTAATTTGTCCTGCTGACCCCTCCAGGGGATGAGGAGGCTGTATCACCCACAGATAGTCTGATATCTGTCGCCCACAACAAGATGTGGGGGCAGAGGACGCTGGGTGCTGGAGCCTGGCACAGAAGAACTTTCTGGATTCAATCTCTCGAGCAGGGACACCTGTTTTTAAAAATTACTAAGATTCAGACCAAAAACCGGCGTTTCCTGGATGGAGGAAATGAAAGAAAAATCTGCTAAATTATACAGTCGCTTGGGCTGAAGTGGCTTGGGCTGAAGAAGAGATAAGATGGCGGCGGTTGCTGCACACTTACAAAAAGAAGAATCCTCCTTCCCCAGAGAGGCTGGAAATATTTTCTCGATTATAAAAAGGGGTGTATTTTACATAAAAATGCATTTGCTTGCATGGATATATTTTTACACATGGTTTGAAGAGAGAGTGACAGCAAATTTTGGGTGCCTGCTGGTTTTCCTAGGACCTGGGAAAACTGGTGGGGGGACATGGAGTGCACAGAAGAGCTGGAACAATTTCTATATAACTTACTGTTTATGAAGCACACCCTCACCAAATTGCATTTACTGGACACGTTCAAAACATCAGTTCATCAAAAGAGAATGAAGAGAAAACAGGGCCGTTATTCTTAACTTTGGATGGAAGCCCAGGACTTTCAGCAGAGGGAGGTGCCACCAAGAGAGAACTATCTTTTAAAATAATCTAAGAGAGGGAAATATTAAAATAAAAGCTCCTGTTAAAACAAGATTGGGAGTCACATATCAGCGAATGATTGATTGAGAAGACAAGGACGGTTAATCAGAATTTGGAAACTGGAAATTAACAAGAAAGCAGAAAACAAATAAATATATTATGTCTGAGACCCAGGACATGAGGAATCCTTCCTTTAAAATTTCTTTGAATTTGGAATATATAATTGGTAATATTGTATATGATTTCATTTGATTTGTTA